ATATAAAATGTGAGTAGGAAATATATTTTCCTGTTGACTTGAAGTCTTGGTGTTTTCAATTGAAGCATTAAAAACTGTGGTTGTTTCAGATTTACTGTAGATTTTCTTTGTAATAAGATTATTTTGGATTGTAGACAAGTTTACCTCATGGTGAAGTGTGTGCTCGGAATTTTTCTTTAATGGTTGTGTTACCACGGTTTGAATGTGTGTTTGATCTAAAAAGAAAAATAAATGGGTTAAAGAATACAAATCAGCAACTCATATACAGGCAACTTAGCCACATATGATCCACATATGAGTATCATATGATTCTCATATGATTGGTTTCATATGAGAATCATAAAAATGGCATCATGTGTGAATCATATGAAGCAAATCATATGATTTACATATGACCCACATATGTGAATCATATGAAATTAACTTCATATGATTTGCATATGAATGGTTTATGTGTTTCAAGCCATTTACATATGAGAATCATATGAAAAGGGTATCATATGTTAATCATATGAAACAGTTATGAGTCTTCTTTTTCAATATTTTTCATTTTCTTGTACACATTTAAAAATCAGATATTTCTGCTTTAGATGAAAATTCATTACATCACAATGATCTATTTTTAGTCATTTTTTTGGCTTTTATTATATTTGTTTTATCTTAATTCAGAATATGTTTAAATATTGTCATTTCTAATTTTTGTCTTTATTTGGTAATGTTTGTTTGGCATACACATAAATGCTCATTTACAACAACTGAAAGCTTCATGTTATATTTGGCAAAGAAACAGAGCAGAGTAGACTTATGTATTGAGATTTTGGTTTGCAGTTAGAAAAACAAGAATTGGTATAATTGTATTAATCTGCAACATAAAATAATTTAAGATATTTTTTTTATATCAATGAGTGTTCATTATCTTAAACTTGTCATTGATAAAGAACGATATTTTGAGGGTTATAGAGGTATTCTAAATAAATTAAAGCAAATGGATAAAGGTGTATAGTTATAATTTTATGACCTATATAAAAGGATATATGTGCTTATTTGGACTGTTTGTAAATTTATGTTGATTTACTGCACTAAGTCATATTTTCAATATACTCACACGTAGAATCTATGCACCCAAAAGAAAAACTGCATACACTCTTATTACAGGTACATTGTTTCTGACAATCTCTGCCATATGTCGGATATGAACATTTTTCTGCACAATTCCAATTAAAATATCCGGGTGGACACTCTGAAATACAGAATTTACTTAAGTTGATATAAACAATTATAAACTATGACCCACATTAAAATTAATAACCTTGAAATTAATATTATTACTTCAATGGTACATTTATGTTTTAAATAAGAGTCTTTATTATTAACGCAAAACAATGACTGTTGATTTCAAGCTACCTTCACATTTTTCAGTACTATTGTTGAAACGAAATCCAGCACAACAAATATAGTTTCCGGACCTGTGAAAAAAAAAATCATAAATAGATACTGCAACAGAGGACTAGAAACAAAATTCAAACAATCTAAACACAAAACCACAGAAAAAATCAACTGGTGTTTATAATAATTTACCCCTTGCATCGTCGACTCTCAACACACTTTGTGGGTATAAAAAACAAAAATATAAAAATTTGCCATACCATCATTTAATGAAAAAAGATAACAATTGGCATTCAACTTCCTTGTATGAGTTTGTGAATAATTTCCTAAATGAATTAGTTCTAGACACATTTCAAAGCGATTTCATAATGAGATGTTAATCATTTTATTTATAACTGTAATATTAACTTCCTGCAATAATTTTCCTATATGTGATGTATCAGTTTTGAAAATCTTTTAGAAAAAAAATCTACGGTTGTTTTTGGTTTTTACAGTTCTCGCGATATTCATTTCAGAACATCCATAATATCAGCAATGATTATAATTAACCCAAATCAACTCCGGTGAACCACTTTAAAGATCATTAGATATTTCCTTTGTGATAAGAGTATTAGTGCCCATGAATACAAACAAAATCAATCGATTGATAATTTCCCCTCCCATTTACATTGACACAAATTGCTTTGTAATGTACATGTAACTCTCTAAATAAAATCATTATTTGCTGATTCAAACTTATTTTTGTGCGCACTGGGCTCAGAAAATAAGGGAAAAATTGTTGATGTTGATGTATGTTGTTTAACGTCCCTCTCGAGAATTTTTCACTCATATGGAGACGCCTATAAGGGAAAAAAGGGAAAATTTTCTATTTGTCTACATTGAATTTAAATTATAAGGAATGAAGCTTATTTCAACTTATGTTATACCTTTCGCTTCGCGGTTTATTAAGTGTAAACTGCTCTAAGTTATGTTAAATGCGAATAACATAATATGAAATAAGCTTCATTCCTTAAAGAGAAAATTAAGCAACGAAATTTCGCGCTACGCATCGTCTTCATTGTCCTCGTATATTTAAAATAAATTTCATCTTAATTTTTCTTTACATCAAATTATACAAAGAACATAATTTCAGTGGAAATGTTTCATCAGTATTTGCTTTCAATATAGCGAATTATAAATTATTATTTTTATCAGTATTTTATTATGAATTGCTATAAGATAACTTTGTCTACTTCAGTTGTACTAAAAAATCTTTATAGAGTAAGTAACACTATTTCATGAAGAGGAATTTTAGTTTGTACAGTGTAACGACAATGTTTGGTTTTGACGCCTCCTATTATCATATGTTATCTACCAGTATCCATATCCTTAAAATTGAAAGAAAAAATGTTTGAAAATTTATCTTATATTCACTAATTACTTAATTTTGTCTTTGCGAAATTTTGTTCAATAAATTAAGAATCACGTTGTCATGGATAAATTTATGAATGATATACAAGGTAAGACGATATTTACATCTATATAGTTATTGTAGTTATCATAGCTATAGCCAATAATTCGAATTACTTATAATTTGTTTTGTTTTTGTTTTTATTTTAGACTTATTCGATACCTGGTTTTTAACTGATTTTTGTTAGAAACTCATTCATATTCTAGTTTTTTTTAATGCGAACATCTTTGAAAGGGAATATTGCATTAAGATTCATATACATGGCTTGCATAGAATATCAAACACCATGCTCATGTTGCACACCATGTCAGTTACATGTAACGGGGGAAAGATGAATTTTTTTCTCTTAGACTATATGTATACCAAGAAACTAGTTATTAAATTTGTAATTTGCTCCTTTTACATGTATTTGTAAAATTGACAAGGAGAAAAAAATATTATTATGCTAACTAGAGATTTATTGTCAGGCAGTCCCTTATATGGTGGCATATATCTGTCCCCTACATGGAAGATAAATTACGTTAACATAAAACATAATTATGTAGACATGCAACATAATTATGTAGACATGCAACATATGCATGACTTTATGTCAACATGCAAGTAAACTATGTTGAGATGCAAGTGACAAATTTAGCAAGAAAATATTATTTAAGTATACTTAATTTCACTTACTAACGCCCGTATCTGACATCGCAGATGTAAGATGCAACATGATTATGTATACATGTGACTTTTACATATATTTGTCATTATGCAACGTATTTATCTTAACATGCAAAATACTTTTGTTTAATTTTACATGCGACTTATTTATGTCAACATGCAAGATATCTATGTCAACATGTGGGTTAGTTATGTAAACATGCAATTTGTTATGTTAACATGCAAGATATTTATATTAATTAACATGCATTTATTTATGTCAACATGCGACTTGTTTATGTCAACATGCAAAATGATAAGTTGCATCTCAACATATATTTTGCATGTTGATATTATTATATTACATGCTGACATAATAATGTTGCATCGTGCAGCTACGATGTCAGATACCTACAGTATGTAAGTAAGTAAATTTAAGCTAATTACACGACTCCGATCCTCAGCCAGGTAGGACAACTTATTAATTTATAATTTAATTCAAAAAGTCTCAAAATCAAGCGTAAAAATGAAATTATGTCATGAAACAATTTTAATGATATACCTTTCAATGTGCTTCAAGTTTCTTTAAAGTTCTCAGAAACGTCTAATAAAAAGTCAAACTTTTTACCCCGTGAAAGCATTCTAAAATTACACATATCAAGAAACTGATGTTCATTATAATCTAAACATAGATACTAGTGCTTTTTAACATGATATGAAATTAAAAGTGAATTATGGTGCTTCATAATTACAGGAGAATCTTAATACACTTTGCATTGTAAAATGATCGAAGAAAATAAAAGAAATTAAAGTATGTCTATGTTTAAAAATTTTTGAAGTTCTTCAAAAGCCTGGATACCTATGATTTTTATTTTAAAAATGTGTTAATTGATCAAATTTAAATTGGGAAATGCATAACAAATGTTTTTATTCGCAATTCATGAAAATATATTTGAGATTTACTAATTTTCTGTATTTAATATGACTAACTTGAAAGATGAAGTTTAATGAATTATTGTGGGTTACTTTGAACCTGTTGTGATTTTCACATAATCATACTGCATGATAACATACAATATCTTCCATGTAGGGGGCAGAAACATGCCACAATTCTCTTAAACACTTAACACTGATATGAAATGTCCTTTTTCGGAGTTTGTCGAGATAACAGATCAGATTTATTGCAGAAATAGATAGAGCGTATTAGCTAAATTTGTAACTAATTCCAAAGTATTTGCTAAGCGTAGAGACATTATGGACGTAGGTGTGCATTTATTGCATTGATGTATAATATAAAATTCGTATAACTACGAAATTCATTTTTACTCAGGTGAGGGTTTCAGGCTACTATTCTTAGAAACTATTCTAAACAAAATTGCTTTATGAAGAATATATGTTCATTGCATTTGACATATTTAGGTCAGTTTGTAAAGCTACTGTTTACGGATTGAGTCACCTCGACCTATGTGGGACTTTGCGCCTGCGCACTTTGATCTTCCGTATTTCTATAGGAATTACTGGCTTCCTAAACACCTAGAAGAGTTTCAATTTTGTTTTTCTGTATATTGTTTATAAGAAGGAAAGTTAAATACGAGGCAGGTTTTGCACAACTTTTTGACCTTTTTTGTGCAATGAATGTTTATTCAAGCTGACCTTTTCTACTTTCGTTTTGACTAAAAACATGGATAAACAGTAAAAAAAAAAAAAAACAGAGACGCTCAATAACTTGATTTCATGCGTGAGTATAGCATTTCTGAATGTGTTGTCAGACTGTTAGTATTTGGGAACAGAACCATGATTGCAATTAAATCTGTACTTTACAATTTGAAACTTTTTTCTCGTGCAAAATGAAACATAATTTTTTTTATAATTGTACAGTTGTATTGTACAGCCATAAACAACAATTTCACGAGCCGGAATTACGTAAACTTAAAGTTAAGTAACCTTCTACAATGCTACAGATCCTGCCTTTTGCTAATAGGTTTTTATAAAGTATATCAAATATAAGTACTCAGTCTTTGTGTTAATGAGTTTGGCCCTACAATGGATCTGGTAAATTACATATTTTTCACATTGCAATTGCAGGCCTGAGAAACGAAAGTTAATACTTTTTCTTCTTCGTATAGACTTTTCCTGTAGTTTAGTCATTACCTCTAGATATATATAAATTTTCGTTTATAGATACTCCCCCCCCCCCCCCCCCCCCCCCCCCCCCCCCCCCCCCCCCCCCCCCTGTTAGAAAAAGAGACAGTATATATCATAGAGTATACATAGAGATTATGATCCCCCCATGCACGGTTGAGGTTAAAGTTGAGATTTTCAGGGTTTATTTTTAAAGACAAAATGAAAAGATTGTTTTAATTGCACATAATAAGGTCCTTTAGAGTATAAAGTTTGTCGTTAAGGTCAAGATCTAGTGAATGACTTTAGACTAATTTTTTGGCGTGATTCCAAGTTTTTCTTCTTATTCACCTACAAATTATGAACTTTTTTGACCAATGTAAAGTTGTGAAGCATAAAGGAATTTATTTCTCAAATTCGACAAATCTTTAATCATCTTTCATATACTAGATCTTAACCTTAAGAAAAACATCATTTAAATCTAATAAAACAGGTCAACAAAAGTTCGTTAAGTTTTTTGTATTTTATTTTAAAAAATGTAGTTTTGAAAAATATATACCAATGGATAAAATAATAATTTAATTTTCCTCCTTCAATAAACATAAGTTAATTCATACAGGCTTGTATATTTTATCGTTACATGTACCCATAATAGGGCTACGTAGTTGAATGTGATAATGAAATTTTTGTTTTGTTCAGTTACTGAAGACGTTCAGGAAATTCTCTCTCAGAGAATGCAGATGATATTTTTTTTATTGTTCTGTAAGTTAGAAATAGTAGAAATAGATTTTCAATTGATGTTTGTAATACAAATGACAAGATAGGGTCAAACCCCTATTTGGCCGTTGGTTTGGTATGTATTTAAGAATGATGCAAGAGTTATTAAATTAAAAACCACTTACACTCACAAATTATCATTACCAGTAGAGACTGGAAGGTGCCATGGCATACCAATGTGTGATAGAATATGAAACCTCTAGATCTGTTACTGTACTCAAACTGCTAATGAATTTCATTATTTATTAGAAGGTAAAATGTTAGCTAATATTAGGAAAATTGACCTAGTTATTATTATTCACACAGACCACATGTTATCAAATTTATGGAAGTAATGTCAACCAAAAGAGAAAAAATGTTGAAACAGTTATGCACGTTTATTTTTAAAATTTAGGATCATGATGTCTCTCTTCCTTGATATATTTTCCCTCTCATTTTCAAGAACTTCACGTGCAGGTCAATACAATGTAGTATTTTTCTAACATAGTTGGATCTCAGCCAATCAGGGAGAAGAAAATTATTCGATCATATAATAAAAAGATTTATTAAAAAAATCTGAATAATTTAGCTTGAATAGATTGAGTTTTTAGGTCACCTGCTATCCATTTTCGTGCGTCGTCGTGTGTCGTGCATTGACATTTGAACATTTTCAGCTTCTTCTCTGAAACAACCAATTTCTACAAATTTTGTAAACGGCATCTATGGGTGAAGGGAACAAATTTTGAATGTTTAGGTCCCTGCTCTCCTGGGGCCTGAGGGATGGGGCCAAAACCACCAAAATTATTGCAATCTTTAAAAATCTTCTTTATTCCTGGACATCAAGCAGGCAAATTGTTGGCATGAATGTAATAAGCATTGAGTCCTCTACAAATTTTTTAAAATTTATGGTCCCAGGTTCAGGGGTTCATGTGCTAGGGCGCAGTTACTAGTATTTAGATAATATAGTGAAACTGCATTATATCTTTAAAAATCTTCTTCTCTGCTCTTGGATATTAAGCTTAGTAAACTAAGTACATAGTTATGTTGAGCAAGATTGTCTGTTCTCATATAGAGAAATATTCTTTGAAAATTTTCTTCTTTGCTTCTGGGTATTAATTAAACTCACTAAGCATATGATTATGAAGAAGAGTGCCTCTTCCAAAGTTGTGAGTTTTTTGGCCCCTGGGTCAGGGGTTCTGGTGTTAGGGCGGGGCTCTATTGATTAAATTGTGAAAATGCATTAAGTCTTTGAAAATCTTTTCCTTTGCTTCTGGGTTTTATGCCAAAGATATATATATATATATATATATATATATATATATATATATATATATATATATATATATATATATATATAGAGCACAGAGAAATTCACTTTTGACATTGAGACACACTACCCCCCCAGCCCGGGGTTGAACTCGCGAGCAACGGAATCTGTCTCCTAGCAGCATAGGAACAGCGCGTTAGACCGCTCGGCTATCTAGGCAAGTTAAAAAACTTGCTTTTGATGCCGATGGAATTCTCACAACGCTGCCCTAGGATCAGTGGTTTCTTTAGGGTGAGGTGCACAACTGGTTATAAAGTGGAAGTGCATTTTCTCTGTGTAACTCTGATCTACCTCTGAGTATTTGGTAAACAGAGTAAGCATGCTAAGTTTATAATTATAGTAAGCAATGGTACCTCTCTCAAAACTGTGGATTGTGAAATTCATGGCCTCTGATTTAAAACACAAACCAAATCTAATTGTTTGAAAGTTGTTACACGATACTCAGGTGACATATAAGGCCCGTGGGCCTCTTGTTTGAAAAGAAAATAATAATAACTGGATTCAGGAAAATAATTAAAAAAACATATATACTTATAATTCACTTAAAGAAGAAGGTATGGTTTGTCTGCCTTTGAATGCGTAAACCTTATCATAAAAGTAGTATTGATAAAATGTTTTGTCTTTTAAAAAGGGTATTCCACATATAGATTTTGCCTTAGTTTGAAGATCAATGACAATCTTATGTAAAATTATCTAGTAATTAAGTATTTGCTCAATAATAAAATTTAAATTTATCTATTTATATTTGTTGAAATATCTTATTACTCTTTCAAATATAAAAAACATGTCAGATTTTAAAATAAAAACAGCCAGTTTACTGTCCTCTATTCCAACAACGGTTAATTAATAACTGTTTTTACTGTAATGATATGTTTATACAAATATTTTGTTTTCACATAAATTACACTTATTCCCACATTACCTTTTCCAACCAAATATTCAAAAAATTGGTATGAACCGAAAGTAATAGGATACAAAAAGTTAGAGGAAGGTAAGAAAATATAGGTCAATATCCGAATTTTCTCATTTTTATGCAAATCGTAGTCAATTTAACAGCACGTTTTCTTTCAAAAATATAAATCACAACAGCCTTTATACCAAATTTATATATTTCGTACATAATAGTATTAGATGCATTTTGTGTGTAAAAATCTCAAATAATATTAGTTACACAGTCAGTTACTGACCTAATACGGATTTATACAAAGTGTGAAATGGAAGTCCGTATTGGGCGAGAGCGAATCCAACTCCCAATACGGATTTCCATTTCACACCCTGTATGAATCCGTATTGGGTCACTTACTGACTGTGTTACGAGTTTATTCCGCTGAAGACATTTTTCAATATAAAATATATTTGTGCATATTATGAAAATATTAGGTTTTAATCTAGTAACAATCAACATGAAATATTGTTACGTTAACAAGAGGTTTAACTAAACTACCTACGTAAACCGTTTCTTAGCCGCCAATTTTATTTACAATAATAACGCTTCGAACGGAACCGCGTGCCCGATTTTCATATTACGCCTCGACGGAGACATCGTCTCAAGCCACGGTCCGGAGTCCGGATATAGCTCTCTCCAACCCGTGGCTGCTTGATCACAAAAAAAAATCGTTCATGTAATCTTGAATATTTACGCCTCCCTATTGTGACGTCATATTCAGTCAGTGGCAAGTTTTGTTTCCATCGCAATTGAAATCAAAAATTGACGTCAACAGTATACAAGAAATATTTCCTATACTGCGATTGGATATTGAAAAGTCGCGATAAAGTTCATCATCCGACTATGCTTTACTCGAATTGGTCAATATTTTAATGAGGTACGAAGAATTCTCTCCTCGTTCAACTACGGCCAGGATGGGAGAGGATCGTACATTTTGTACAGAGGCTTAATACAGAAAAATCCAGGGCGTAATGTGATTAGTTTTTATCCAATTAGTAATCGTGAAATTTGTTTGAAGCGGGATATGGTAGCTTGTGCTCTATATTTTTCCAAGTGAAAACTATTTAAAATTTAAGGAACACCAGAATTTGGAGAAAGTGGTAAGATATTCTATTTTTGAACCCTCTTGTGGCCTCCGTGTATGCTTTGAATCAAAATCAGAAGTGGTTCGTCACTACAAACTACCTCAGTTTAAACTGTGTTCTAGAAACCGTTTTACAAAACAACTTACGAAAAAGATCAAAATGTTTAGGTGATTGAAAACTTTAGCAAAGTTAATAATTCTGTTTCAGACCGATAATTTTAAATTATCCCTCTACGTTCCATTTAAAAATGTGGAAACCATTTTCTATTTTATGTAAATTAGAAATTTAGAAGCAGAATTCATATTTGATTTTAGTCGTATGTTCTTTTGTAAAACATCAAATACCATACCTTGTCCTTTACAAAATCACTCAGCAGACTTTAACAAGAAAAAATAAAATGTTAATGAAGTCAAGATAAAATCAAAATTAAAATATGTCTGAGATTCACATATATTTTTCCTTTAATTATTTAAAACTACTCACTATTCGATGCTTTCAATCGGTGAGCACTAAGGTCGTAAAACACTGGTTTAAGAGATATTTATTGCCTATTTTTTATTTTTGATACTTCAAATATTTTTTGGTGCAAAAATTGCACAATATTATTTCTGCACATAAATTTGTAGCATTCTTAAGAAATATCCTTCAAACTATCTTATATAAAATAATACTTTATTGATATTCATGGTCACCACTAGTAAATATTGATACATTATCAAAGTGTAAGTAGTAATAATGGTAGTTTTAGGCTAGCCTGGAAATTGAAACTCTACACTTGTCTATGACGCAAGCCAATATGAAAAAAGAATGATATATTTATTTTTTGTTTTAACAGATTTAAAAATATGCTTGCTTGAAGATGGGAAAATGGTTTTTTCAAACAGTACTTATTCTAACTATATTTGAAGAGGTCAGTCTCTTATATGCATAGTTTCATAGAATTGTAAAACCTAAATGCAGTGAATCGATTCATTAAAAAAACGTGCAGGTAAAATAACATTCGGGATTTAAAAAAAAAAGGATAATTAGTTCAAATTTTATTTTCTCTAAAAAACTGCTTGGTTAGTTAAATGTATGGTAATATGGCAGCATTCAAAGATGTTACATATTCATCTTTCATTGATCTAAACATTGCTCCTGATATCAGGTGGTGTTCAAATTGGAATTAGAAAAGATTATTTAGATGTAAATCATCAAGTTTAAACTTAACACTGTTTATTCAGAATATCGACCTCTTGCTGGGAAGGAGGTTGAATCCAAAATTGAATGATTGATTGTGTATATTGATTAACATCCCTCTCGAAAATTTTTCATTCATATGGAGACGCCACAACTTGCTGGTGGAGAGCTGCATATTTTGTCTTATACTCGACAATCAGGGCAATTGAGCAGGAAGGGATCTTTTTCGTTCCAGTATCTACTGCGATACAAGAACTCTTTTCATTCGGTCTCATCCGAAGAAACGGTCTTCGCGTCCCACTTTGAGATTCAAAACCGGGATGTGAAGATTAAATCAATCCTTCGCAACTCTAGAGCACTGCACCATGCAAGCGACTCAATGCATCACAAGTAATTTATTCCTTAAAAATCATTTTTTCCAGATTACCAGACTTGATTAATATATTCGAATATTATATGGATTTCAAAATTCAAAGTGATCACCCCTTTTGGTATTTGGAAATTTTACCTCTATAAGTAAAAATTGCTTAACTTTCAATAATCTGCTGAAAAGCACCTCAGCGTTTTACCTGTGTTATAATATCTGATTTCATTGACTCTTTAATATGCTCTTTTATACTCATGGGACTGTTAAGTCCCCTAGGAGGACTTTTGAAATGGTCTAGAACTTAACATCTATTCGTTTGTAAATGAATTGATGATGTGTGAACAGAATAATAAGAAATATGGAAGTGGTAATTAGAATGTTTTTGTTTTTCAGAATTGCATCATGTGTCAGTTAGGTCCTTGTGAATATTCCTTAGTAACCGTAGAATATGTAAGCTCCTGTCCCTCCAACAAAGTTGAAGCAGCGCAGTCAGCCTCTCGTAAAAATTGTGAGCATCATGCAAAATTACAGACATGCACAAACCCAAACAATTTCAAATACCACTGTCTAATAAATGCAGAAGGAAACAAAAATATTGAAGTATGTGCACCTGGAAAGAAAGTTAACGGTAAGTATTATTAGAAATTCAAGAAAATATTCAGACAGGCCTCTAAGAAAACCCTATTTAAAAACCTAAAAATAAAATTGAATTAAGGGCAGACGAGACAAATCTGAAATTTATGGGCGAATTCCTCTGCAATCCTGGTGCTTAAGGTTTGGGACAAAACCCTTTAAAGGACAAGATAGGGTAACGGCCGAATATGGCCCTTATTTGGTGTAAAAATCAAAACACTGGTAAAGATGTGATAGTTTGTAGTAAAGAAGTTAAAATGATGCTTACTTTAAAACAAATACTAAAATAGATTAAAAGCTTACATGGAAGCCACTAGAGGGTGCAGAGGTAGGATATTTTTTTTTCAGAATTTACTCAATTCTGTTGGAATTTCGTCAAATTTGAGATACTTTTCTCTTTGGAAAACATAGAGCAAAAGCTTGCTTATCTGAGATTTTTACACAAAAAACTGCATCTGATAATAGTGTATAAAGTATATAGATATGGTTAGGCAAGCGTGTGCTCTGAAAAAAATGTGCTGTAAAATCGATAAAAATTTGCAGTAAAATGAGAAAGAGCAAGAGGCACTTTGAGCCTTATTTGGCCCTGAGAATTTCTGAAAAATCAAAACTACTCAGTCTAGGTTGCAAATGCGGAATTTATCACTTGGAGTGTTGGTAGCCAAGTATATATTAATCGCAAGCCACAAACTCGTGCATTTGAACAACCAAATCGTGCCAATATTCACCGATATAAGTTCAATAACCCTATAGCTATATTATTGGATTTTCCCCTGCATTTCAAATGTGTTTTTCACCTTTGTTTTTAAGTCATTATAAGTCTATGTAGATCTGATACATGGAATCTAAAACGGTACATCTGTACAGAAATATGATCTACAGCTAAAATACTCTAAAAAGCTGAAAAAAAATCAAGTTTGAAAAAAGTAGCGTTCTGTCACAAAGATGGATGATTTTACTCATTCTTATACTTGTATTTCCTCCCATGCAAGTTGAATTTTATAACTTAAACAGACCATTTGTAAGAAATGGCAAAATACATATTGACAATATTATCGGTGGATAAGAATATACTTTCCCAGAATGAGCATTACAATCATTAAAACCCAAGACTAGCTCTGTCTCGGGAGAGCCGATTATTCAACGTTGAAAAAGTATGGGCGTTTCTCTTCTTTATCAAAGAAGATAGGTGCATTTGGCATGTGATCTTCAGGAATCATTTGTACGAAACATTTATGGTTAAATGTCCATGATTTCGTTGGCTGAACATTTCAGGTCAGATTTTACAAACACGTCCATAGTTTTTTTAAAATATAGTTTGAAGGACTTTGTGAGATTGTAACATTTATGTCCGATTTTCCTAGGTGGTACTCTAACATACGTGTAGTAATTGTTCACACAAAAACCCCTAAATATTTAATACGTTCATATGTACATTATAGAATAAAAGATTGGAATTTATTTCGCTTGAGAATCAAACTGAACCACAATTAAATCAAACTTTTAATACCTCATGACATAAAACCAAACTGACAAAATAAATGGTTGTTTGCATGAAAAAAAATGTCGCCCCATACAAGGCTCGAAACAAAAACTTTTCGCTACGAGTGCGCTGAACAGGTAGCACACCATAGAACATTGTGCTACGACAGCTATACAGCTGAATTTAAAAGGGTAGAGAAGCACCACATTCACACATTTGTTTCTTTTTTTTTTTGGGGGGGGGGGGGGTTGTGGTCTCTCGGTTTTCTCTCCATTTTTAAGTCACCTGAGTAAACTCAGGTGGCTTATTGCTATCCGTTTCCGTCCGTCGTCGTCCGTCGGCGTTCACATATGAACATTTTCAGCTTTTTCTCTGCAACCACTAAACCAATTTCAACCGAATTTATCACAAAACATCTATAGGTGAAGGAAAACAAGAATTGTGAATTTCATTATCCCTGCCCCCCTGGGGCCTGAGGGGTGGGGTCAAAACCACTAAAATTAATGCAATCTTAAAAAATCTTCTTCTTTACTACTGGACATCAAGCAGTCAAACTGTTTGCATGATTCTGGTGCTACATGTAGGGAGGGGCTATATAGATTAAATATGGAACATGCATTATTTCTTTGAAAATCGTCTTATCTGCTCCTGTGTATTAAATAAACAAGCTGCGTAGTTATTAAATAAACTAACTAAGTGTGTAGTTATGATGAGCAAGAGTGCCTCTATACCTAAATTGTGAAATTCATGGCCCGAGAGTCAGGGGTTCTGGTGTTAGGGCGAGACTCTATTGATTATACAGTAAAAATACACCAATTCCTTAAAAATCTTCTTCTCTGCTCCTAGGTATTAAATAAACCAACTAAGTGTATAGTTATGATGAGCAAGAGTGCCTCTATTCTATTGATTCTATAGTGAAAATACATGAATTCTCGAAAAAAATTGCCTCTGCTCCTGGATAGTTATGATGAGCAAAAATGCTTTTTCCAAAATTGTTAATTTAATGGCCCCGGGGTCAGGTGTTCTGGTGTTAGGGCAGGGTTTTATTGATTATACAGTGAAAATACATTACATCTATGAAAATCTTCTGTCTCTGGGTATGTAGCAGATCAACTACCTATATAGTTATGATGAGCAAGGGTCCTTATCTTGCAGAATTGTGAATTTCAAGGCTTCAGGGTTAGGGGGGGGGGTGTACTCATATACTGAAAATGAATGAATTGTTTGAAATCTGCTCCTTAGTATAAATAAAATAATTTTGAAAAGCAAGGAGGCCTTTTCAAAAAATTGCCGTTTGTGGATCTAGGCCTTAGGGTCAGGGGTTTATGTGTGGTAAGGACACTACTGATTATCGCTTAATATGACTGATTAGTTGAAATGTATTTCTGGTCCTCTACCCCACCTATGAGTATTAAGTAACCAAGTTTAACGACTGCGAAGTGTATTGTTATGATGATCAATGGTGCCTCTTTCAAAATAATAATATTGTGAATGCCATAGCATCTGGCTTAAAACATGTTTCAAATTCAATAACTGGAAACGTGTTGCAGAATGCTCAGGTGATCTATAAGGCCCATCAACCTCTTGTTTTAAAAATGTTTATTCGTTTTTTTTAATTAACATGTACACAATTAACGTTTAAAAAATCATGGAGAGAAGACCCAGAGCAAGAGAGAGATTGTAGGAAAACTTGTTTAAAAATGTACTATTTTGTACCACATGTATGATCTGGCCAATTTTCAAATTATTTTTAAGCAAATCAAAGCTCAATTTCGGGAAAATATTTTCATTTCCTATTGATATATAGGAAACCGATTAATAGATAAGATATTAAAATTTCATGTGACATGTAGATGAAATGTTCACTTTTCAGTTATGCCCGAATTGCTTTCACCTGTCACCAAAGCAAATATCATTTTAACCATCCCCTTCCTTCACTAGATCAATCCAATACAATCATTGACTGTAGATCTGTAAGTCTTTTGTCTTTAAAAATATACACTTCTGCAAAGAAATTTTCAAGATAAAGCTAAATACTAGTAAGATATATTTATTGCAATCTCGTTATTATTTGAAATATAAATTTTAGTGTTTTCTTGTTTCAAAAGCAAAATTATTCGTAATATTAAAAATCGCTGAAAATCAAATATCTATTCAATATTAAACAAAATATTATATAAATATAGTCCTTTCATGAGGTCGATCCATATAAATTGACTTCATAAAAAAGCGTATCGACCGTGCACGAATTAAAGGGCTACATTTGTTATATTATTTTTTTACATAGATTGACAAAACAAATTATGAAAATAATTGGAAAAGTTTTCTCCCTTTAACAATTAGAGACTAGAGATCAAAATAAATTACACCGTTTAATGTAAATGCGTTTCCTTTATATTGATGGAGTGATTTAGACGATTTACTTATTCAGAATTCTTCATTTATTTGATTAAGTTTTGTATCAATGTTTGACAAACATATTGAATATGTTTTAATAAATATGAAGTAATCCTAATCCTTCTTTTGTCTCATCAAATACAAAACATTGAAAAAAAGTTAGTAAAAGTTGAAATAAATATTTTTTTTCTAGAAACATCAAATTTTACACTGTACTAGCTTTGATTGAATACAGTACTATTTTGTTTCACGGAAATTATCTCCATTTTAAGAAACCTCAAGTCGATATGCATTTCAGATTCTATAAATAGTAACTCACGTCTTAATGCTGTTATATACTAAATCATGTGATCAAGTTTGAGCCAATCAGAGAGCTGGGAATAAATGATAAAAATAATATATGTATTTATATGAGATGACTACCTGATTGAAATCTTTAATTTTCTGTGCACTTAAGCGTATGCTATCGTTACATTTTTTTTGTCTTCCTAAAACTACACTTATAGGAATTTATATTCTGGAAAGGTTAAACGTTACCTGTATGTTACCAACTAGCATCAATGTGTCATGTTGAATCCGTAGTTTCTTTGACATAGGGGGAAAGTGTCTCATATATCAAGTTACACAATGCATATTCAGCGATGGGATTGACCGGCTGTCAAAGGTTTGCATATGTATATGCCAATATACACCTGTGAAACTAAATCAGTTGTTTCGTATTTGAAGTTTGTTCTCTCAACGATTGATTGGAAAACCAATTTGTTTACTCTACAACTGACGAGGAGGTGTAATATAACTTTTTGTTATATACGTTTCGGATAGTTTATATCCATTAAGTTTTAATATGAAATAATATGCACAAACACATTATTATTTTAATGTTTATTGTTTTTGAAGGTTTTTGTACGGAGTTTGATACCGACACAGCAATACTTCAAGACAACTACAACTTTGATTGCTCAAAATATGATCCACCTTGTCCGAAACAGTACAACTCAACAGAGGCATATTTATGTAAATTTATTTTATTACCTTAGTCTTTCAGGCGACCTACTGATATATGTTTTTATTCGTCGTTGTCACAGAAGAAAACTAATCTAAGATACATAATTCTTTGTATAATTTTTTTATTTAGATTAATAGCTTTGCCATGGTTACTGAAAATAGAAATTTCTTTGAAATACTTTTAAAATGCTTCTCCTGCAGTTTTGGTCTGATATCAATATGACTCGGTACACAAGTAGTGTATACTAAGATACACAATTTTGTGTATCGATTTTTGCAATCGATAAACGGTGTTTCCATCTTTACATGTACTAAAAATAGAAATTTATGTAAAATGAAATTACCCTAAAAGTGTAATTTTAGTTTGTTTATAGTAAATTGTGGCAAGCAAGTAGTCTACAATGAGATAAAAAAATGTCTGCAAATGAAGTTTAGGGGAGGTTTATTGGAATCAGCTTTCCATCTGTCTGTGGACGAAATTTTGTCCGGACTGTTTCTCAGAAACAATTGGAAGGATTTGTCTGAAAATTTGTTTACTTATTATTCACTATTTAGGAGCTTTGTCTGGCAAATAGTGAAATTAAATTATTATTTCTTTACCTTTATCAAGCAAACATAGAACCGAACATTGATGAGTAAATATGTCTCCTAAAAAATGGTCCATTTGTGTAAACTTAAAGAGATGTTTCTGAATATGACCTGAATCAGACGGATCTCGATCCAAATTTAAAAACTGATACATAATTATATTAGAAATTGAAATATGATTACTTATCTTCCTCTATGCATGGCTTATCAAACTAGTAGTTAAAAGTGATGGTGCCTTCCTCTCCCAATATATATCTTTGAAGTAACATGTCAACGACATAAATCGTACACATGTGGATTTTTTGTTCGTATACTACACGTAACAATGGCGAAAAAAAGAATTTATGAAGTAAGCCAGTTTGATTTATTTTTCTGGGGAGGAGATGTGTGTGTTAAAAATGCCTACAGTAAACCAGGAATTGTGTTAAGGGTGGGTATAGGGACATACCTAAAAAATTCCAAAGGTGAGATAATCATTCAGCCAAGCCTAGCCTCTAGCACGGGATGGATAAAAATCTGTCAAGCAAAACAAAAAAATTCCTCAACTGTCCAAATATCTGCCATACAGCAAGAAAAGTGGGTTTGAAAGTGGGGATTAATCTAGAAAATTACTTTACTCAGAAAAAGTGGGAGTGCCCCAAACGTTTAACGGGTTTGTCAGCTATTTACTTTACTCCATAAAAAATTAAGCTATACAAAGCTTACATGTTCCCTGTTTGAATGAACAATAAGTGTTTGTTTTTTTAAAATTCATTCGGTTTCTAGACGATATCCTAAAAAGCTACAGTACCGACCAGACACAACCTAACAAAAAGCGAACCCGGAGCGCACCCCTGGTTCGCGCTCTCTGACATATTCTTGTATATTTAAAAAAACTGCATCAGGCGTATATAGAACAATTCGAGTACAGAATTGGGAGGACGACTCATAAAAATTTAAGAAAAAGTAATCAGGCTATATTAGCAAATTCTAGTCTAATGATGAGATTTTACGTGTACTGTTATAGTCTCTCTCTATCTCTCTTTGCTCTTGATGTTTCTTGTATTTGTTTATATTTGTTTATATTTAAATATTTAGTGATATTTTTTAAGGATATTTTTTTTAATTTCATTAGTTTACTCTTACTAATACAGTTTTAAGCCCGAAATTAATAAGGCTTTGAAGATAGGCAAGTCCACAGGTCAATATCAATATATTATATTGCATCAATTCTTTTTCCTTCCTAGTCTATAATTTATGAATTGTAACAAACTAACTCTTTCACAGATAAATATGAAATAAACTATATAAAATACGAAAGCTCGACTCGGGCAGAGATGCTAAACTTGCTTGATTGAATTCTCTGCAATCCAACAGAAAATTCAAATCAAGCGAGTTTATCACCTGTAGAAACGAATATCAAGGGCTAGAAGGTGGATAAAAGAATACGGATTGGTTAAGAAATGTGTTTAGAATTAGGGATAGGCCAATTCTTCCCAAAAGTGCGTTCAAATCTTGCACCGTAGATTGCAAATTATTTTCATTTAATAAATGATCAAAGACTATTATGCAAAATCATATAGCTACAGTTCTGCAGTTTTGTTCTAAATATCTCGTTCATACGACATATTGTTATGTCGAACGTACGACTTATTATCTCATTTGTACCACTTAGTATCTTGTACGTACGACTTAATATCTCGTACGTATACGACTTACACTATTTCAAGTGGCAGCAATATGCTTCCGTAGATATTTGATCGTCAATGAAATAAATCTATAATTGTTGTATTATTCAAAAGGTTAATATTAAAGTATTTGGTGTGGAGATCAAAGTTCTTTTAAGGATAACATAACAGTCGAAAATTCATTTTATAATTATATCTTTCGATCTAGATAGAGAATGTTATGAATGTAACTGGGAAGCCAGACCTACTTTATCTAAGACGTACTTAACCGAGAAAAATCCGTAAGTACTAAATAAATTTTTCTCTTTCTCTCTCTCTCTCTCTCTCTCTCTCTCTATCTCAATATTCATGTAGCTATCTTGTCTCTAAGAACTGGCATTTGTTTACAAGGCATCAAAGGTCAGATAAGAATTTGAAGCTTATTGATATGGAATTATGATTAGTAACAATAGCATGTCAAACATTAGACAACTTTTTAAAAATTTAAAATTATATTTTTATCTGACTCGTTATTTGGCAAATTGTTAAGTTATTTAAGTATGCATTGCCAGTTATTAAACAAATGACCAATCAAATTTCACTGATCAAAATTTTCAGATCAAATTTTCTTTTTGGACACCGTGTTTAAAGATTATTGTACATTTTAACTTTGTGTTTACAAGTATTTTGCTGGGTAAATGATCACTTAATCTTATGAAGGAATCCACTATGAATATCAAAATATTTTTTTCATGTTTGATTACAAAAAATTATGAATTACTGTGACTGTATTTGATCTTTTTGGCTTACCTTAATCAGATGAGCTGATCAAAATTTATACGTTGTCTGTCATCGTTGTGATCGTTAACTGTTTACATTTTCATCTTCCCCAAAGCTTCTTCGCCAATTTCAACCAAACTTGACAAAGAGTATCTCTTAATAAAAAGAATTCAGGTTTCTTTACATGAAGGACCAAGTCTTCTTCCAAGGGAGAATAATTACAAAAAAGTGAAAAAAATGTCATCTTTTAAAAATCTCCTTATCAAGAAACACTTTGCTAGAAAATATAAAACGTAAGAGGGAGCATCCCAAGGTTGTGTAGATTCAATTTTTAAAGGGTATAACCACAGTGGGCGATCAAAATGCTACACAGAAATTCGTGATAAAATCTTCAAAAAATTATTTCTCAAGAACAGCCAAGTAAATAATTGGTCATATTTAATGTGACATAGAAATATATAGGAAGTATGAACAATCTTCTTCTAACTAAGGAGAGCAAAACCATGGTTGGTCATTTTCAAATGGTAGCTTCCTCAGATAGTGGTGATTCAAGTTTGTTCAAATCATGACCCCCCGGTGAGGGTGGGGCCATAGTGAAAATTAAAACGTAGGAAAGGGGTCACATTAAAAAAAGATATTAATTTGTGTATATTCGATTTTGTTTAAATCATACAACCCTGTTCCCTTTTGAGGGTAGTTCGAGACGACCAATGGATCAGCTTTTCGATGCAAAACTGATAATTGCTTTTTATCTTAGCCATAGTGCTCAGATGAGCGATGTGACTCCAAGGCCTCTATTCTATTAGTTTACTTAATACACAGAAGCAGAGAAGAAGATTTTCAAAGAAAAAAATGCATTTTCACTATTATAATTAATAGAACCCCGCCCTAACAGAACCTCTGACCTTGGGGCCATAAAATTCACAGTTTTGGAAGTGGCACTCTGGCTCATCATAAATATGTGCTTATTAGTTTATCTAATACTGTAAACCAACTTTTATTCGCGTGCGAGAAAATTTCGGGAAGTTCACGAGAGCCCCATCATCAAGAATAATTCTCGTCGCGAACTGGTCCTTAGAGTGTTATATGTCTATAAATAATAGATCCAAACAGGCTTGATCACGAAAATTAATCGTCGCAAACTAGTTTACCCTTGCTAAATCGCGAAATGAAGTTGTCGTGAACAAAATTTGGTCTACAGTACCTAGAAGAAGAGAAGATTTTAAAAGAAATAATACATTTTCACTATATAATCTATATAGCCCCAACCTAGCACTAGAACCCCTGACCCTTGATCCGGGAATTTCACAATTTTGGTAGAGAACTCATTGTTCATTACATTCATGCCAACAGTTTGCCTGCTTGATGTCCAGGAGTAAAGAAGACGATTTTTAAAGATTTCAATAATTTAAGTGATTTTGGTCCCACCCCTCAGGCTCCTGGGGGCTGGGATTATGAAATTCACAAATTTTGATCCCCTTCACCAACATATGCTGTAAACCAAATTTTGTTGAAATTGGTTCAGTGGTTTCAGAGCAGAAGCTAAAAATGTTCAAATGTTAACACACGACGCACGACGGACGACGTGCGACGACGGACAAAAACGGATAGCAATAGGTCATCGGAGTAACTCAGGTGACCTAAAAACGGAGTTTACACATAATTCCCAGGCATGTTGAAGTTCCTTTCAACAGTTTCGAGTGAAGGAGTTTGTCTTTAAGAAAATACATTTATTTCATGATGAAATAATGATCTTTGTAGCCGTGCATATTTTTTATCATTTTAAGGAGGCTGGCGGGTAAACAATTTAATCCCAAATTAACCACCAGATTTAACTTATTTTTTTAGATACGGTATCTTTTGCTGTCAACTATCATTTGGCTAAGAAAAAAATCATATATTTTAGTTTTAAAATTTGATCATTTTGTATATCTTTATATGGAGCTCTCCTTTTAAGGGAGAATGAAATAGTCTAAAAATGGCTGCCACCCCCTAGCCTCGTTAAATTTGTTACGTGACAAACAGCTATGATAAGTGAAGTCGCCTTGTCCGAAGTCCGAAGTCGACTAAGACCCCCTCAACATACATGTACATATCACTGCTGGTAAAGTGCGAATCGAGAAAATCTTGGTTTCGGACACCAGCTACTATTGGTTTACATGAATGAGGCAGTTTATGTCACCTAAACGATCAGAAATGATTGAACATTTGATTAGGACGTAATTATTAATGTTCGGTATGGTTTCATGCGGTAGAATTGCTTGTTGGTTGAATACATATAAGGAACAATCCAGTAACTGCTTTAGATTACACCCGTTCAATGTATTTTACTAGATTATTCATATTTGCTTTGAACGTGTTAAACTCGATTAATGCTACATTATTTGTGTTATATGTGATATGGGTATATATTATAGGACTCATTTATAATTTCCAATTTCTTTAATGTTTCACAAGATTAAAACTTTTGATGTAATATAAAGTTTTCTGATAACATTGCGAATATGGTTGCTGTATGTGCGACTCTTGACACGTGTAATTGCTACGACTGGCTTCTATTCTGTTTCATAAGGTGCGACGTTTTACTGCTATATCATAAATGTATTGTTTTCCGAGAAATACATTTAAATTTAATATCGACACATCAGGTAATGCATTTTTCTTGAATAAACCCCCAAAACATATACCTCAAATTCGAGGATTGGTTGCTTCTATCAAATATTTAAAATGTATTGCATATATAACCCCCCCCCCCCCCCCAGAAAAAAAATTAAATAAATAAATAAATTGTTCTTTTATCTGAAAAAATAAAGGATTAAGAAATGCAAAAATCACTGGTTAGTTTATATTGGATAACATTATTAAAAATCATGAACTTGTTTTACTAAAATATGTTACTGGAGTATATGTTCATTAAGGCTCTCTTCCAAAGTTCAATTTTTAATAATTCCAGATCCATGTTGTAAGTCATCTTTTATTGACTATCTAGTACTTTAAAGTTACAAACATTCTATGCATACAGAAGAAACAAAAAAGACCTTTGAATACCCCCCTCCTCCTCCCCTAAGGAAATAAGATTGACCTCTCTTTAATAAGAATGAGAGTCATAACCCTACATGTTTTGAAGGGAATAGACGTTGATGCATGTAAGAGTGTTTTCCTTTTATATCCCCTCCATGAATAGTTTTAACCATTGACTTGGAGAGATGGCATAGACAGGCTTTAAGTATTTCCGATAAATAACTTGTATGGAATAGTTTAATATCTCAACAAAATATTATTATATTTGAATGACATAAAGACACCGGTCTGTTTAGTATATTAAACCTGCAGACCCGTGACATTATTTTTCAATGTATATGTAGGAAGGATGAGAGCCGCAGGTGATTGACAATCCGACAAAAAAAATGTCCAATCGAAAAAACACAGCTCCAGAACTGTTGTGTTAACTTATGGTTTCATGTTTTGATCTTTGACTATAAAGACTTAAATATAAAACCATAATGCTTCCGTACTGCAGCTAGGAAGAACAGTCCTATTTTATCATGTGTTGGGGACCTTTCCCTAACTATTCCATTTTCCACAACGGCCATCTTTGCTATCCAAGGGTTTTTCAAATGCTACTTTCCTCTAGAAACCCTTGGCCAGCGAAGATGACAACGGCTGGATTTGCGAACCTTACGGTTAGGTGCAGAACTGTATCTGTTCGAAGACGGGAGAGCTGGAAAAAATGTATACCGGTATTTATTGTGCACAAAAGTACGCTGTTTCTCGGTTTCAAACTGTCATACTCTAATTATATTAATTTTCTAACTGGGTGTTCCAAATAAATTTCTTTACAATTTCCACTTACTATTTCGGCAACAAACAACTGTTGTAAATAACCCTCCATGAAATTGAGACCATCCAATTTCGCATTTTTACTGTCTTTTTTAAGATGACAAGAGACAGATCGTTTCAATTGCAACACGCTTCGTGAGGAAGTCTAGAGGTCAAGATTTTTTTTTAGCTTTTGTGCAGTTGAGATAAGATTTTGGAGGAAATAATCCAGTACCAATTAGTCGCAGCTTTTATGTGCAATATTTTAACAGATTTTTGTTCGGGTGGCACTGTTACGATGGCCGATATCAGCCTGTACATATTCCGACTGCTTTTGAAATTTGTACATCTAAAATGTACATTGACATGTACATTTTTCAATGACAGTGCACACATTGTGCTCTTAACTTTTGTTTGTACATGTACATTTTGCAATGTCAGTGCACACTTTGTGCTCTTAATTTTTGTCTGTACATGTACAAAATGGCAAAAAGGCAAATGTCAAAACGTGAGCGGTTGAAACGCATATGCTCTTAATTACAATTCCTGGTCGGTGGTAACCATTAAATATGAATAAAACTGTACAACGGGGAAGATTTGAACAATTATTATTAAAACAAGATTTGTTTTGTAAAACACAGTTACAGTTTTTCAAATGATGGTCAAAGTTTACAGTTGAGGTCACAATTATTTAATCTTATATCATG